TCGGCTCTTTCTGGTTACCTGATCTCTAGCTTCTCCTATCGACCTTGCTTCTGGATTACGGTTTTGGATTGTTTGCCCCTGCATCCTGCAGAATTCACAGCTACGCACAGGATCATCGGAAAACTACCTGCCGGTTCCCTGACAAGAGGCAGCTAATACAAGAGGCAGCTAATACAAGTGACCCCCACAACATCACTGCTTTCAATGAAATGAAAAGACAAAGAAATTCATGCAACAATTGCTCATGATCCGTGCATTATCAATGAGAGAGACTGGATTTCTAATGCAACCAAATATGAATTTGTCAACTGCTGCATCCATCTATCAAGCCCTTCATAGACAATGCAAAATCAACCATGATAAAAAATTCACTAAGTTACACACACAACATGGAACACATCATAACAGTCAAGAAAGAGTTAGAAGTAAGAATAGCTATGGAAGATTAAACCAATGCTAATGGATTCTTTCAATCTAACAATAGGAAAAAAAGATCAGTTGCTATAATAGTAAAGTGTCTTAGGGATAAAAATGGGCCTATTATAGAAGACCAGCAGGGAATGCAGCCAATGTTTGCAAAAGAGAAAACAAAATAACATGCTAGAGTTTAAAAGATGATCACACTCGGTTCTAAACACTTTCATTTTATTGAAGAATGAATTATTAAAATGACAAATGACTTCAAATAAATAACTTCTCCTAAACAGACATTATCCATTTGTGGATTCCTCAAAGGAATGAGGGAAGTTATTCATAAACGGCATAAAAGCTACATAAATGACTCTTCAGGCTGGAAGTGTACCTATTAATGGGGGGGAGCAGATGTATCGCCAATTCTTTAAAAAGGGACAAAACAGGGCCTGGGAAATATAAAGTTCTAGTAACAAGGAGTGATAACAGCATTATAAGAGATAGCCTGCATAGATTTAGAAGAGGTACTGTAGACTTCTGTGATCAATTAACTGCTACAGCGTGGAGTTTATAATGAAAGTTCAGGAGGAATCATAACTGTCAACTTCAATCAAGCTCCGCTGTCAGTAATTTGTAATCATTCCTCATGTCATCTCCTCACTCAAATTAAACAATTATAATTAATAATAATAATTGCTTACACTTATATAGCGCTTTTCTGGACACTCCACTCAAAGCACTTTACAGGTAATGGGGACTCCTCTCCACCACCACCAATGTGCAGCCCCACCTGGATGTTGCGACGGCAGCCATAGTGCACCAGAACACTCACCACATCAGCTATCAGTGGGGAGAAGAGTAATGAAGCCAATTCATAGATGGGGATTATTAGGAGACCATAATTGGTAAGGGCCAGGACACCGGGGTTACACCCCTACTCTTTTCGAGAAACGCCCTGGGATTTTTAATGACCACAGAGAGTCAGGACCTCAGTTTTACGTCTCATCCGAAGGACGACGCCTGTTTACAGTATAGTGTCCCCTTCACTATACTGGGGCATTAGGACCCACATGGACCACAGGGGAAGTGGCCAATGCTGGCCCCACTAACACCTCTTCCAGCAGCAACCTTAGTTTTTCCCAGGAGGTCTCCTAACCAGGTACTGACCAGGCTCACACCTGGTTAGCTTTAGTGGGTTGCCAGTTGTGAGTTGCAGAGTGACATGGCTGCTGGCTTTATATAATTTATAAACAAGTATAAATATTATACCTAGTCCCCTTCACTTTGCATACATCTTTTGCATTCCTCCTACACCTTATCTCCACCTCGCCGGCTGCCCATTGGTCATTCCTCACTCTGAATGGTGGTCTCAGTCTCCTCAACCACTGATCAGGAAGTTAGCCCTCATCTAAGTGAGAAAAGCCTCATTTACTGTGACAAAACACTCAAAAACCTTAAATAGACTTACTTCTTAATTTGTTTTGTTTTTTTATTCCTAGTGAAAGATGTTATATTTATGGCCTTACAACAAGATATACAGTACTTAGACTTTCAGGTAGCTTTAGATAAAGTATCAAACAAAAGACTAATCCCCAGATTAAAAAAAATATATATAACAAATAAGCAAGAAGGGATAAACGACTTAAACTAAGTGTGCTCTGCTGTTGTAGACAGAAAACAGAAAAATTGAGTTTGCTTGTAGAAACTGCCCTCAATTTATCCCACTGACACTTGAATGACTCACTGATTCTCTGTACACAGGAGGTAGGTTCTTCTAGTGTAGGGCAGACTAAGGTTGGTTTCAGAGTTTGCAGGTGCATTCACTATATTGTCACACGCTCTGCAGCCAGAGGGCGCTCCTACTCTGTCCCGTCCCTAGTTTCCTGCCTGCTATCCTTCTGGTCCCTCTCTTTCCCTTGGGCTATATATTTCCGGGTCTTGCACTCCGCCCTCGCTCAGCATTGACGTGCGGATGTCCTGAAATCCGCCTAACCACCCAGGTCGCCTCATGTCCGCTGCCTGAGGGTATTTGATTTCTACTTGACTCCTGAACTGCTGAGCCTGGGCCTTTTTTCCATTCTGCCGCTACACATATGGGTCTTTTTCCCATCTCCTGCTCTCCACAGTTGGTCCCTTTGGACGTCCGTGACATATATACTGTATAATAAGGAGCAATGAACTTCAGTGCACATACAGTGCAAAATAAGACCACATGCAATATGATCACAGGCAGAACAACAATACAGAGGCTCCAGTGTGTAGATTAGGGAATCTGGACTCAACCATAAGGGTTATTGGCATTTTAAATGGCTTTTAAATGCCTGGTACCTGTTTAAGCTTTTAGCAAGGTGCTTCACTCAGAATGCTGTAGGGATATAATCAGTTTTATAAATAGGTCTCTTTGGATCAGATTCTCAGCCAAATAAGCAACTAATGCATGCCAAATAGCAATGTATTAGCTTAATGTGATTCTTTGAATTGAACTAAATGTGCATTCTCCAAGTTTGTATTGACATTATTAAACACTCAGGCCTCAGATTGTTATTGCTAATCAGTTATTACTTGCAGTGTAATTTTTTAGAATTCAAGAATGTGTGACATCTAATCTAATTGAGCCAGAAGTCCCTGTCTGAGATTTTCAGTGTTCCTCAATGATTCACAATCACTGTTCTGCTGCTCTGATCAGTGTAATCGAAGGATGACATGTTCATTATCTAATATTATATTAATATTAATCTACAGTAAATCAAACAACTGCTCTTGGTTATATTAGTTGAAATACACAGTAGGATGAAAGATTAATCAGTTTCTGATTGTTGGTCACAGGCTTTTAAACGTCCACACATCTATCCTTCTTACTAACTGTTCTATCCAACATAGGGTCATGGGAAGCAATGGGTGCAAGGCAGGGTACACCCTGGGCAGGACGTCAATCCATCACTGGGCACACACAGACACAAACACAGATGTTTACCAGTATGTCTTTGGATTGTGGGAGGAAACCAGAGCACCTGTGGGAAACCCAAGCAAACACGGCTAAAACATGCACACTCCACACAGATACTTCCAGAAAAGGGTGAAATCTGCTAAACATACAAATGGGACCACTGGGAACATGAATTACGTCAATACAAAAGTGTAGCGGACTGCTCAGCGTTTGCATCCATGATATTTTGTATTTATCCGCGAGGGAAGTATGCGCCCTCTGGTGGACAGTGCTGATAGCATACGTACAAATGGTCCTTGTGGTCGTATTTGCAGTTGACAAAATACTATTGCTCTGGAGCACTTATTTTTGTAACACACTTTTGTTTCAGTATGCCCACTTACTACACTAATAGTGCGCCATCAGACATTATAGAAAATGGAAGAACATGGTGCACCAAATCAGCTTCAGTTCACTGGCTAAACAGTTGCAAAGCATCTTAAAATTGGGTTCATATTTAATTTATTTTTATTAAATCGTTTTATGCAATTATATATACTTATATATACATATATATAAATATACTTAAAAAATTACAACAGTAAATGCCTTCTGTAAAACAACCTTTACAAATTCTGCTCAATGTCCATAACAGAAAATTAGAGAAGCATAGAAAAAATCTTGATCCTGGGTACCTGTAGATAATACCATTAAAATAGTCAGTGCTATCTAATGTTTATTCGTGGTCTCTTTTTAAACGCTCGTTGATGTGCGCTGTTTTATTTAATATTTTGTAGTAGGTCTTGTTGTAAAAATAAAGCCCTGAATCATGCCTGGTTTATAAATAAATATTTGTTAAAAGTTTAATAGTAGCCTTTCTTCGGATTTGTCACAGATTTTAAAGGCAGGCCATGTAACTAATTAGTTGAAAGGGTACAAGGTTAGGTTTGAAGCAATACTTGCAAGAAAAAGCATAACGCAACAGCAAGAATTATAGATATAGTTTCTAAGTGATCTTTCAGTGACAGAAAGATGAAATGACGGAATTATACATGAGTTGGAGGGAATTAAATCATAAATACTGTAATTTCCGCAGGAATACTGAGAAGAATAAAAGTTTTAATGGACGTCCAATGAATACCCCCTCTTACGCTAATAATTACTGTCCCACCGTATGGCAATTACAGGTGCTGTAGACATGTCTTTCTAGACATTTTATCTCACACTATGTTTTACTGCATTCGGGATCCTTCGGTTTATGATGTGCATTTCTTCAGGCTTTCTTAAATGAGAAAGAAGAAAAATACAAAGCACTGCATTTATACGTTATACCACGACCGCGATGTGGGGATCTACTGTATAGTATTTACTGTATGTTATGATGCATCGCTTTTGGGGAATTGCAAAATCAATGGAATAACTTGGGGAAACAAGTCCAGATCATTACTTGCATCAGTAACAGTCCAGCGAATTGAGTTGCTACAGCTCCGGACGACTCGATACTTATGTACTTGTTTGTTCAAGTAAAAATTTAGGGTTTCCCCTTTCACGCCCAAAACGTGTTACCTGTTGATTTTGTATCAATTCAACACCCCTCAGTCCCGAGATGCGCGCTCACAGATAGAACAGATCTTTAACGAGCACGCTTCGTTTAACCAGCCCCTCGTGCAAGATCACTTCCGGTTGAAACTGAGCAGAGAAGCTCCATTCTCGCAGCACCTCTGGCGGACTGCTGAGATTTAGGGAGGAAAAAAAAGACGAAGAAGATTAGCACTGTGAGTATCTTTTAACAGAACTCGTTAGTCCCGCTTGTTTGGTTTCTGTTTTTGTTGATAAGGAAAGAAAATCCATTATCTCTAGTACAAGTGCAGAACGCAGACTGCAGCTACAGAGCGGTGCAACACTGGGAAGTCAAGTGTGAGGATGTGGCATTACTTGTAATATAGAGCTAGCTTTAACATCTGGACATATGCATCTTGATCTTTCAGTACAGGTGACATTCAGAATACATGTTTAAATGAGTTTATAAAATTCGAAATTCACTTAAATATTAGATTCTTTGGCATTTTTATTGGTTATTATTTTATTGATGTACAGTATATGTTGATTGGCTTTATCGGTATTCGCATTTTCACTGTGCATGATATGATCTCACTGAACAGGAAAAAGGGGAATTGGATTGTAACGCTAAAGCTTTACGTTAATAATTACAGTGTCACCAAGCATATTTGTGATATTTAGGCTACTCGGTCCTTGTCTGTTAAGGTTTCGCATTATATAACAGTAAAATGTAACGCAATCCTGCTACAGTGCGTGCAGCTCTCAGGTAGAGTAACCGCATTGTCAGAATACATTTCAAGGTTAATATCATCGTTACCAATTGATTGGACAGACCGGGGAACTGGTAGTAAAAGTAAAAAAAAAAATAGGTTTTAATGTGTTCAAAGTCCATTACTTACATTAATGATTTATATCTCTATCTAAAATTCTTGTCCTTGTTGTATCGCTTGACTAGTGTGGTGTTTTTCTCTTTAATCAATGGCAGTTTTATGTAATGGCAAATTCAGTTTCAACCAATCCGACCAGCATGGTACTGAATTAATGATATTCGACCGGCATAATTCATTTTGTATACAATGTTGATGAGGGTGAATGCTTCGCTGATACAGGAAGATACAGAAGTGTTTTGAGTGTTTCGGAACACTGCACAAGCAGATCAGAGTTCAGGGATCCAACCCGCTACATTTTATCTTTGGAGATAATGTCGTTTTGCTGACTGTGCAAAACGTTTACAAAGAGAAGGGTACTTCGTCCTTTGAAAAAAAAAAACTCGGTTTCCATTCCGTGCGTGCACGTTTTTGTTTTTACGCATTAATCTGTAACACGGCGTGAAGCATGATGAAATCTCTGTGGAAATTACAGCAAAGATGGCTGCAGGAACTACCAGTGCAAAGAATCCGTTTGATGTGTGAAATAGTAGCTGTAGCTTGTTACACTTAACAGATTGAATTGCGCTTCGTGGGCCGTCAGACGTAAAAATGGCACAAAAAACATTTTTATTGTGTTCTGAGGTGACACTTATTTATGCTTAGCTGTATAATTTTAGTTTGGTTTTCTTTTATTATTAGAGCTTGCTTAACTTTGACTTAATGTTAGCTGAAGAGAAAGAATGAAACTCTTCTGATTTCAAGGAATTGTTGGGGGGGGGGTATGAGTATTTCTTCTTACAAAATCATTGTTTTGCAAGAAATTATCCAATGTTATTGATTTACGATGTTTTCATTCCCTTCCCGTAAAAAAAAAAAACTCACGCATCTTTTTTTTAACATCAATATGTGAACATTGTTAGGGTTAGGAGGAGAAATATCAAAATCAAAATCAAAATAATAATAATATCGAGAGAATTGTATATTTAGCAGATATTCTCACAGGAATTAATGCTGTTTAGAAGCCAAGCTATGGTGGGTACTGTCGATGAAAGGAAACAGTGAATATGACACCTTGATGTCATCTATTAAAAAAATGTGCAAATGCATGCAAATAGTCTTTGCATGACTTAGGTCTCTTCATACACACACTGACAAAAAACCAGTTTATATGCACATGCACATAAGCATATAGTGCTGCAGCTAACCATGCTTTTTTAGGGATTTCAAAACATTCCTGCATCAGTCTCATGCATGAAAGTCTCGTTCTAAACTAACTGATCAGGGACGATCTGTACCAGTCTATATTACACCTTGGCCATATTAATTGACCATAATCATGTCTCAGGCATAGATAGCAACTATGCGGGTTTCTTTGATAATAACAATACATTTAGAGTACTGTACATTCTGGGAAAAATTCTTTATTTTATGTCTGGATTTTTTAAATCTTCTGACCTAAGAGTGATAAGAAGCTGAGCAGGAAACAACTGGTTATATTAACAAAATTACATCGCATGCCATCTAGTGTTACAGTATATCCTAGAATGTACTGTGAATCAAACATTACTACCACAGCTCTTCATCCATATATTTTCTAACGATTTTATCGGGTACATTGTTGCAGGGGAGCCTGATTGATTGCATTTTAATTCTCACATATACAAATGTTCTGATTTGTTGTAGTTGTATGACCAGACAATGGATCTGATAAATAAGGCTGTAAATGTATGTTTCATCTATTTTCTTACCACTTCATTCAGTTCAGGGTCACTGGAGAGCCAGAGCCTATCTGAGCAAGCAAAGGCAGGCTACACCCTGGATGGGATGACAGTCCATCACAGTGCACACACAGACACAGACACACTAACACCAGGGCCAGTTTTCCCAGAAGCCAGTTAACCTGCCATTACTGTATGTCTTTGGACTGTGGGAGGAAATTTGAGCAACCACGCAAACATGGGGGGAACATACAGTATAAACTCTATGGAGGAAGGAACTGAACCCAGAGCCCCAGCACTGCAAGGCAGCAATACAAACCACTGCATCACAATGCCAACTCTACCATAGCCATAGCTGTTATTTGCATACAATGTGGAAGTGTGATGCATGGTAATATTTGGCCTTTTGGTTTCTTATTGTCTGATTGTTTCCCCTTGTACTTAAAATACTTAAAAACTGTATTCTTGAATAATAGTTAGAATAGTTTTCTTCTTGATCAGGATGTTGTTCTTTTTCGTCAGCATTCTGTACCTACCAAGTAATAAAGAGTGTAAAAGTTTTGATGTTTTTGTAAATCTTCCATAATCCTTTTGGAAGGTTAGAAGACAGCTCAGTGTATCATCAGAGACCAGGATCCTGCTATAATGAATTATTATGGTAATTTCATGCTAAAATAGAGCATTGAGAAGGAAGAAGAGTAATTATTCGGTGGTGTGTCTGCTCAGAATAGCATCAGCAGTGGAGGAGGTGTTCCTGGGCTGTGGTACGGAAGACAGAGGGATATTAAAGGCCTCTGGTAGCTCCGCTGTTCCCTTGGCAACAATTTTCTGACTCAGCAATGGTAGGAACCCCAGAGGTCTTTGGGATATTTGGCTTCTTTGTTCTGTTTTTTTTTTATAGACAGATAAAACTCTAGTTGGGATAATGTCAGTCCCTTCGCTGTTTGTGTCTGCAGTTCTATACTATGTATTTTGTAAAGTCCTGTACTTTGTAATTAACTCTTATTGTCTCTTAAAAGCTACAGGAAATACAAGTAACCTTAACAAAGAGAGATTCATTCTTCTTGTCCTCTTGCACATTTTACTGTATTATTTTATTGTGGCCTTCCTTGTCATTTATTTTTCTTTAAAGGAGGCTTATTAAACCATTGAAAATCAATGTGAAAGACAAAGTGCCAGTAAATTATCCTGCATGCAGTTCAGTGAAATGCAAGCTGTGCTGGAAAAGCTCGGAACATGTAGTTCACTTTCATCAATGCAAAACGCAAATCCATTTCTGCTTTATGGTTAAGCACTTGAATGTACTTATCGTAACAAAGAAAAGCCTCTTTGGCACTAATTTGCATCTGTGTTCCCAAATTATCTTCACTGAATTGCACTACTTGGACAGCTCTCTATTGTCTGAGTCAGCTGGTATAATGTTATGCTCTATAAATGTTCCAAAATTGTAGCATGGGAGGGAAGGAGCTTCAAATTGTGGGATTTCATTAAGTGATTACTGACTAAAAAAAGCTAAATGCTCTCTCACTTGACCTAAAATACGTGATCTGTTGAATTAACCATTTATAGAAAAAATAATTAAATATAAAAAGAACAAATACATCATTGTTTGGATACCTCATATTCTTTGTATACTAATATACTGCTATATACAGATATTCTGTAGCTCGTAGAAACAAGCTTTTAAACAACCCCAGTTTTAGACTTTTTACCTTTTCTACTTTTAACCCTAATAGATTAGTGTTCATGGTAGGATCTGGTATCACCAATAGTAATAAAGTACAGTACTTTGAGGAGTTAAGACAATACATTTCATGATACATAGGATGTTCCATTTTAAAATAAAAAAACAAATATTAATCAACTTCAGGATTTTTAGCTGAAGTAGAGTAATATGGTAAATAGATAAATATTTTATTTTATGGTTTTGTCTCTGCCTTATTAACAGAAATCACAGGATCAGGAGTTAACACTCCTTACAAAAGCTGTTCTTTTAAGTCACTGATTTGGAATTATAGTTTTGGTTGGGGATAACATGTTTTTTTTCCACACTGGTTCATTTCCAATAGGTGTCCTACTGTATGTTACACAGTATAAATCCCAATTAAAATATTAAGATGATAATTTATTTATCCTTGCTGATGAGGAACTTGGCACATAGTTTATATTTCCTTCTACTTGAAGTCTGCACCTTATGGTATAACTACTGTAGGCAAGTCAGGACACTAATCCCCCCAGCTTAAAAGGTATTTGGCTTATGGTTTTAACTCTCTTTGTAATTGGTTTCTGGGATTCTGAAATCTACCCTCTAAAGGTGTTTAGTCATTAGTTATTTAGTTATTTTGATTTCCTGTGATTTACTTTAAACAGTGAAGTTGCAACAGTTTGAAAACCTTTCTTTTGCAATAACAAATCGCACATATTCCTGATTTTATTTTCCTTTCTGCTTAGGCCAACATGACAACTGAGCTGCCTACAAACATCAATATCAAGGAGCCCCGTTGGGATCAGGGAACGTTTTTAGGCAGAGCTAAACACTTCTTTACTGTCACCGACCCCCGAAACATCCTTTTATCCAATGAACAGCTGGAAAGTGCCAGGAAAATAATACATGAATACAGGTAACACGTGTCTGTCTTTTGAACACTCACATGGAACTCGGTGATCCTCAGAATCTTAAACAGGTGCATGCTTCATTACACAATAATATGAAATATGTTCCCTTCTGTAAATAATAAGGCACTTGACGTTAATAGCCTTGAAGCTTTTTGTAGTCTTTGCTTATATAGTTAAAATCATTAGCTATACCGTTTGTCCTGCAGATAAGAATACCTTTAAAGACTCGTTTCTTTCATTTCCTTTCATTTTCTTTTTTAAGGCAAGGAATAGTGTCTCCAGGCCTGACCGAAGATGAGCTCTGGAGAGCAAAGTACATCTACGACTCTGCGTTCCACCCAGATACTGGGGAAAAGATGATCCTGATTGGTCGAATGTCTGCCCAGGTGCCGATGAACATGACCATCACAGGATGTATGATGACGTTCTATAAGTGAGCATTCAAGAATCAAATATAAAAGAAATACACTGGGCTGACAGAATTCTATCATTCTAAAGGAGATGGTTTTTGGGCGGAGTATGGTAGTTTAGACTCTTAATTGGCTCATCAAGTAAAGGTGTTTATTCAAATTTAAATTATTGAGTATTTTTTATTTCTTTAGCTTGAGTGAGGACCATCTCATTTGCTGAATGTGTCCAGGATTCCCTAGGTTGCATAAAGTAGGTTCAAGTGGGTCTGACATTTTGCTTCTTGCTGTACCATAGTAGCCCTTGAAGTTTTTTTGGATACCTGTTGTAGAAAGTGCTATCAGTAAAAACTGCTGCAGTCCTCTATTCAATGCTAATTATCCTGAGGCTCATATTGTGAATAACAGTGGATGAGTCTGCATGTTTCAGAGAATGCACACCGCCCATTCCTATCTCCCATCGCTAAGCACTGCTACAAGGGTCACGAGTCTGCCTGATTTAAAAAGATGGAGTAATATGTATACAGCCTTTATTATATCTCTAGCCTATTAGAAGAGCTTAAAGCAAACTTAGAGAGCGCAAGACAGATTTCCTTATTTCCTCCATTGTTCAGTACGATTTGCAATCTATCTAAAAGGAAGACGGTCATGGTAACCTTTAAATTGGATTTTTTTTCCCCATTCTTTCCCTTGCTCTAGGACCACTCCAGCAGTGGTGTTCTGGCAGTGGATTAACCAGTCCTTTAACGCAATAGTCAATTACACCAACAGAAGCGGGGACGCCCCCATCACTGTGAGGTACTGCAGACTGGCCTGCCTCTTATTTTCCGCAACCCATCTCTGTAGCTATAACTTGTAACCCTAGAATCCATGTTATGGTGTGTGTACGTCAACAAATTAATCCATTTTTAATCTTTCATTTCCAGTCAGCTTGGTGCGGCCTATGTATCAGCCACTACGGGGGCAGTTGCAACAGCTTTAGGACTTAATGCACTAACAAAGGTACTCATCCATGTAACCACAGCACACCATTTGTTGAGGTCACTGGCCACCACAGGGCTGGTAAAGATACTGTATAAAAAAAAACTGACTATTGTACATCTTGCTTTTTTCAACAAGACCTTTTGAGAGCGAGGAAGCACAGTCAGTTAGATGTGACCACATAACGACAGAGGTATAATTGTGTTTCATCGGACCTTTCTATACAAAGGCTTCAGATATCGAATTTGAAGTGGTCTACTGCATAGAAATGAGAGGTATTCGATTAACAATTCAAAGGCATGCTCAGGCATCCTAATCAGTTATAAATATGTATTATCATGTCTTTTAGATCCAAATATTAGTCCTTGCATATTCAGATCTGTTTCTTCTCACAGTTTCCCCCTCTCTTGTATTGTGTAAGCCTGGTGTTGTGTATTTTAAGCAAATAACTTTCTTTTCTTACACAGCGTGTTTCACCACTTATAGGGCGGTTTGTTCCCTTTGCTGCTGTAGCTGCTGCGAACTGTATCAATATTCCACTCATGAGGCAAAGGTAAAGCGTGCAATAGCACAAACCACGCTCCTCTACGTTTCGAGTCACTTTTGTTTATTAGATTTCTGCTGCGTGACATTGCGTTTGGAATTTTCTGAGAACGATTTAAACCGAGCCTGTCTTTCTGCATCGCTGCTCTGATGCCATATAATGTACATAATAGCAACAGACCAGCCTGAAATTGAATAACACAGCACATATATGGCCTCAAATGTTAAATGTATTGTGAATGCTGTCTTATAAAAATGAAAGGTCTCTTATTGTGGCACATGCTATTGTTATTTACAGTGGTGAGAAAAAGTTTGTGAATTATCTGGATTTCTGCATGAATGGCTCCTAAAATGTGATCTGATCTTCATCGAAGTCATAATAATAAATAAAGACAGTCTTATTTAACAAACAACACACACACCATTTTAAATTGCCATATCTTTATTGAACAAATGGTTTAAACAATCGAGGTCATTGGAAAAAAGTGGAAAATGTATGTGAACCCTTATATTCACAACTATGTGTAAACTTGAGGTTGATATGTGTTCCTTTCCTGCTGTGACAGGGAGCTGAAGTACGGCATTCCAGTCACAGATGAGAATGATAACAGGTTAGGAGAATCACCTAAAGCTGCACAGCAGGCCATCACACAGGTGGTTGTGTCTCGAATCCTCATGGCAGCTCCAGGAATGGGTCAGTACTATTTCATGGGCCTTTGGGTGTACTCTCTTTGTACTAGTGAGATTTTGAAACTTCTTTCAACAGACCCTGCAATGGCTTGTCCCTTGCTATCATTTAATCTGGCACAGAATATTTTTCTGTTTTATTTTATACAATTATATTCCTCACTCTGTAGGCAACAAGTGTAAGTGAATGAATGCATTGCAGTGATAGAGGAATGTTTGCTGAATCTGTTTTCCAAACCTAATGCGGAAAACAGCTTCTTTCATGCTGGTATTATCTATTACAATAAACACAGTAACATTGTTGATTTGTAAGGAGAAATAATGATAAATCATATTACATTTTTTCATATAGTAGTGTTCAGCTGTGTTTGAATAGGGTCAAACACTCTATTTAAATCTAAATAATTAACAAAACATGAACAATTCTGTTAAATTAATAGATCTTGCAATTTTTATGTATAAATTTGATGTTTATTTTGTTTAACAAATATGGTGTATGCGTTCATTTTGTATCCAATGAAAAGACAGTAAGTTTTTGTTTTGTTTTTGTTGCCAATGATAAAAGTAAAATCTGAAAGTGATCTCCTTTGACTTTTCCAAAAGACTTAGCTAAACCTTTTCATGTCATGTTTCATGTCAGGGGTCAGACTTAGAACATCCTTTTGGATCATGTTCAGACTCAAACCCTGACAATGTTTGTAGTATTCAATTTGTAAATTTCAATATTTAGTGTAAACTTCTTCAGTCGAGCTACTGCGCTTTCACATAATAGTTAGAAATCTGAATAATATGAAACTGAATGCACTTCCTTTAGTTTGTGTTTTTCATAACTGACATTTATTATGCTTTTTGCTTTTTACAGCTATCCCCCCTTTTATTATGAATACTTTGGAAAAGAAAGCATTCTTAAAGGTAAAGTTTATTTTATTATAATAACTAGTAACAATAGTAAAATTAATGTAAACCAATAAACACTTGTCTGTGGTTTAAAAGCTTTGTATTTGTAATAAGTAGTATTGTATTACTATATCTGTAGAAGGGTTAACGGCCTTGAAATGTATTTTTCTTATTTCTTTTTAATGTTCAACATGGAATTAGAACCAGGGAAATATGTACACTAAGCCTGCAAATTAAGCAAATCAGAAGTTAATCAAAATTGTGGATGTGGATTTATATAAGGTTTTATTCATTACAGTAATGGGCTATATCAGTAGATCTGTGGCAGACTCCACAGAGCTCAGATCTCAGTGCTACACATTCACTTCATTTTCAACCTCCACAGAGATTTCCGTGGATGAGTGCTCCCATCCAGGTTGGGCTGGTAGGATTCTGGTAAGCAGAAGATCCATAAACATCTTCCAGTATCAGATATCAGTGCTACACATCAGATATGTAGAGAGGTAGAGATTAAGGAAATTGCTTCTAGCTAGAATTTAAATGAAAATGCTCATTTTATACTGGCCTGAGAGGTATATCTGACAATGGTATAAGTTGACTACTTGGTACAGTGCCAGTGCAGTACATAATATTTTTTTTCAGTGGTTGAATAGATCTTATAATTCTTAACTTTTAATATCAGTCAGCTTTTTTGCCAAACCAAACTTTTGTGTTGTTAAGAACGTTCTATGATGCAATCATAAAATTAAACAGAGATACAGAAGAACAAGATACAAAAAAGAGAGCATAAATAACATACACATATCATATGAAAATCCAATACAATGCTACATTACAGTAAAGATGATGATCCATTCATTTTAGACTAAAATACTACTCCCAACTCTGTGGAATATCATGATATTCTTAGGCAAATTTGTTAGTACATACTGTACCATTATAAAAGTGTATATCAGTGATGCATCTTAACCTTCTTCCCAGCGGAAGGAGCTCAATCAAGGGAAAACCTGAGTGGGAAAAGAGTAGTCGCTATTATCTTTAAAATTTTCAGAATAAAAAGTATGTATTGCATACAGTATGTGGAAGCAGCAGGTGATACAGTAAGTCACAGCCAATCATTTTAGAAGCTGTGTGGACCACACTGTCCAACTGCTTTCTCCCTTAGAATGAAGGGACATGCCATGACAGTTAATTTCTTTTAGGTACAGTGTTTGGATTTCCCCAGGAATATCTGCTGTCTTTTGCTTAAATGCTGTTTATTTTGTTTTCAGTTTGGTATTCGCCACTCCCTTGTGCTGCGCACTGTTCCCGCAAAAGAGGTTGGTGACTGTGCTTCATAGCTGATTGTGTTAAATGACAGAATCGATGTAAAGCCGGCGTCACACTACACAACTTTTTCTAGGATTCTCAGTCGTAGCCTTTATTTACATAATCATAAGAAAATCACAGCAAGTTGTAGATTCACATCGTACACCCGTTACCGTCCGTTGTGTAGTGCGACACCCCCAGCGACTCAGTCATAGCTCTCTTAACAGCCGCTATGCCTCTCTGCGACTCACTACAAGTCGCAAGTCTATAGGGTGGGCTCTTGCATCTGTGACAGTCACAGCCAACGAGCACTCAACGGGAAGTACAATGCACACAAGCGGCTACAAGGAAAGAAGGAAAGCCAGTGTTTTGGACTGCAAATGGGGGAGAGGCTTGTCGAACTCTGGAGCCAGCACAGATGTCTGTTCGATGTTTTGTGTTTGTCGTTTCGTGTTTGTTGTTTATTTACCTTCGTGCGGTGCTCCTCTTGTGCTCCACGTTGATTGGTTGCCAAAATGAGGCGACCTCACGGCACTTTTGCGGCGCAATGTGAGATTTGAAACCGTGATGAAAAGCCGTGCTGGAATCGTGTAATTAGTCACCCCCTGCATTCCTAGTCGTATAATTTGACACCCTCCAGTGCAGAAAAGGCAGCAAGATTCAGTAACTGCAGTCGTTAAATTTCACAGGTTGTCCGACTAGAAGTCATGTTGAGTCCTGTAGTGTGACAATGGCTTAACAGGCCAATCAATGCAAAAGTTTACCTGCTCGTAGCAGTAAAATAACTGGATACAAGATAGAGGCCATGCAAAGTATTAATCTGTGTTCTTTGGCTCTGTTTAGCTCCATGTCTGCAAGCCGGCTGGAACCTGAACTACAGGAAAAAATCAGAGAAAGAGGCTTAGAGGTGGAGAGAGTTTACTTCAACAAAGGACTGTAATAACAAAGATAACAACTCATCTCAGTGCACTGCACAAGAATGCAGTTCGGTGTGAATCCTCATTTTGTGTGCCAAAGTTTTGTTTCCCCATCAGTGTTTTTGCCAAGTCTTACAACAGACATTTTAACTCATTTTCCTAAGATCCTCTTACATATCACTCTTGTCCTGGTTTTCAACCACATCCAGGTTAAGAAGGTGCTTATTTTAGTTATTTTTCTTTATTTTTATCCACCTACAGTATTTTAATGTTGTATCAGTTTTTGTTCTTAATTTGTGTTTTACCAAAATGTGTGTGATGAATAATGGAGTCCCTATCAGGGTGTAAAAAGGGGCCTGCTTTGTTGTTTTAAATACAGTTGCAGTTTCAGATCATAATGCATCTCCATTATTGAACACTTCTCCAAAATTAGAAGTTGCCAGAAATGTGAAGTTTTTTTCAGTAATTTGACAGCTTTATATTTGTAGGTGAATTTGTTGGTAAAATATACTTTACAAGAACCTACAAGAATACATCTGTTTTTGCCTAAACTTTATGATAGTGGTAAACTCTATTTCACATGAAATCTTTTTATGATTTTATGATGAATTTAGCCGAGCAAGTTTTACCTTTGTTAAATACTTAAAACTATCTTCATAATATTGTGCATACTGAGCATAACAACCTTAATACCCAATACTTGCTACAGTGTCTCATTTAGTGTTGAATTTACAGTTTTAATTTGAACTGCTGACCAGCAAAAAAAAAGTGCAGAATGCAGAGATAAAACCTGAAAAAAATTATGGTGGTTTGGAATTTTAGTCACATTCAGCAATAAAAGCTTTTCAACAGGAATGGCTTGCATAATGTCATAACCACATGTGTGTGAGTACAAAGCCAGAAGAGTTGATTAAAACACTTCTTGTGGTCTCAGTTGGTTAGTAAAAGCAAAAAGTCTTCTATAGGGGAGTACGACCGAAATATGAACAGCTCTAAGTGAACTTAAGTGTCGTGCCAGCATCTGTCCAGCAAAGCATAATTTTGCTCTTTCTTTTGAGCAGAAGTACAGTGTGTTGTTGATACTATGTTAAAAGACTGAAGAACAGAAGGAATAAGTAAACCTCAACCGTATAGTAATTGTAATTTTAAATAAGGAATAAATATACCTTTATGAATTCCCATCTAGAGATGATACAATGTTACATTGTAAACCTCAATTTTTAGATTACGATTATATCTACAGTATATGTATATGTACTTTAGCCACAATGTGAGCCCCCATACATGTAGCGCTATACTCATTTGTGATCAGCTGGCAAGGTTCAGACACAATAATTGAGTCTGACAGCCTAGACTGGGCTGAATAAACAATTCAAATCATGTGAGGACACTGGAAAGATGACAACCACTGCAGAATAAACCCCCTTAGATTTCATCTTGGCTGATGTACAGTAGTTGTAGAGGAATGTACAGTATCTGCCTCACTCAGTTACTGCATATTGACAGAATTAAAGATGAACCCTTTAAAAAAATCTAGCAGGATCACTAATACTGTATCAAGAATATAACTTTAATTTCTTACATTTGGGCAGAAGGAGATGCAATAGTTTTATGCATCACAACCAACATCTATACCAATAATAACTAAAAAAAAACCTACGTAAGAGTTTAATTTTGTAGTTGTGCACATTTCGTTGAGTTCTCATTGACATCTTTGTCTACATTTTAAAAGATTCTGTGACCGTGTTAAGATATATAAGCATATAAGTTTTAATGGTGATTGTATAGTATATAGATAGAAAGTATGATTAGGTGTTTCGAAAGATAGGTGTTCAAATAGTTAAAATTGTTTTAAGTTTCCTCTGACAAATCTGGCTGACAAAGAGGTTGTGGCAAAGATAGAAAGCTTGCACACTGATGAGGCTTTTTCACAATGCTAATGATCTTAGGCTGTTTTTTTTTTTTCAGAATGTGAGAAATTATCACCATTGCCATCTTAACACCAGCCTCATTTTGATAGTTCCTATAATTGAACCCAATTTGGAAATGCTTTGCACAGGTGTGATGCCACCACTGCTGAAGTCAGTGTTGTCAGTTGTGGCAGAATAACACCACACCTAAACACACTAAACAGCAAACTCCCTGTCCTATTATTTGTTCAACCACAAAGCGTTAATTAAAATTGACTTAAATCATCACATCTGGAGTAAGAACACCCTGGGTCTCTTGGAAGCAGTAATGTCCACTCAGATAATACAAGGCGAATATGTGGCAAGAGACAAAGGTACTAGCTGAAGCACAACGGTTTGGTTTTAATGCAGAACTTTCATATGTTCTAGGTTTCTTACCTTCTGTATTGAACAACTCTGATAGGCTGATGGTCTTAACTACATAGAACTACACTGTTCTCATGATCAAATGGTTAGTGTAATACAAGGGTCTAGCAAATTACACAACAAGAAACTGCTTTTTTCTTACCAAGGTGTGCAATAACAGATACCAATCTTTTTAAAATGAATTGTGTTATGAAAATATGGTTTACAGTAATTTAAACATTTTAATTGAAATAAAAAGTTTGTCTATAAAGAAATGTCTTGATTGTGTTTCAGAATAAACGGAGGTGTTGTGTTGTGTAGATTACCTGGATGAAATAAATGATAAATTCCCGACCTAGACTGTTTGCTGTTTGTTTTATTTTAAGTAAATGTGTTCTGTACATTGGTGTTAGTCTCAAGCATGAATATGTAGGTTGTTACTAGACTTTTGTAGACGAGGTGACAGTCAGACCTTTTAGTTTGTCTTAATGTAATGCTTCGTCCTTACCATGTGGTGGAGTGTGTTTTTCTTAGCTTTGCTTTGCCTAGCGTGTTACTTTGCAATTCAGGGAGAGTAATATACTACAGATTTCTAAATATACACTGTATTTATACAGTATTTACTTTGAAATTAGGGTTATTAGTGTTCAAAATTCACTGGTAAGTTAATTGGTTTCTGGATAAATTGGCCCTAGGTATTTGAGTATGTGTGTGTATCTGTGTCTTTGTCGGTCTGCCCTGTGATTGGACTGGCATCCCACCCAGGGTGTACCCTGCTTTGTATCTGTTGCTTGCTGGGTTCGGCTCTGGTTGCACTATGCTTTAAAGATTATGAGTTACAAAAATACTGCTCTGGTAAGTATGAAACAGGGTTTTCATATGGCCCACAGGCTAGGTCTGACCCAGCAAGTCCATTTGTCTGGTCCATGAACTGTCGGCAGGGACTCAGTTTGCACCTTGTCTAAGCCAGAACAGCTACACGAAAGCCTTTGGTGATGCTAGTGTCTTGCATGCACAACTCTCCCTGTGGTTCTCTCTCTGTCAGTTCATGGTGTCCCTATTTGATAATGTCACAGATATCATCTGACAGGGGCACATTGCACGAAGTCAGTGAAAAACAAAATGTGACACTGCATAATAATAATACAAACTTCCACAATAAAAATCATTAAGAAATCAAGGTAAAAGGGAAGGCTACCAAGTAAAAAAGCCTTTGTTGTAGCGAAAAACACAAAGGTTTTCATGCAGTGTATTCACCGGTTATTGAACAACAACATTATTAAAATAACGGTGAAAATATACATTCATTATATTTTAAAACATTAAACCTAATAATACTTAAAACATTTCCATACTCAGAAAGTGGTATATTTGGCTAAATTGTTATCTAGTAAAGACACAGTGACTGCTAATTGCAGTGTCATAAAATAAACACGGAAAATTGCAAGTATGTCATACAATGTAATGGTTGTAACTAGTATTTTAATAATTTATGGCATGTGTGGCCCACATGAAGTATAAGTACTCCTGATATAAGATAAATGTGTATTGTGTGTGGAGTAATGAAAACCACAGCGGAGATGGAGGTACAGTATATGTGCACATTCCTCTAATTACAGTTCTTGCAGATACTGAAATTAATTTTCTAAAAAAAAAAAGGGCATGTAAAAAACAAATATTAGAAGCTTTTGTTGTTTTATGCCCCTTTAGAAATGCCTGTACACAGAAATGAAAAAAAAGTCAAGCTTCATTCAAACAAAACCACCTACAGTTTAGGTTTAATCTTTAGACAGACAGGTTTATCACTTATTTGAGAAGTGTTAACTGTGTACCATAATGATGAAGATCAGGACAACATGACTCTTGAATAGAGTACTGTCTTCAGAGGAAAAGACAAAACTTCTGTCTGGCCGCCAGAGGGAGCCATCCATCTGTTTAAAGAATAGAGATGGTATTGGTTAGCTATTTCTTTACAAACACAAAAAAAAGACAAGCAACCAAAAATGAAAACAAAACATCCTAAAAAATATGAATGGAGGCAAAACCTTGACATTGAGGGAACAAAAAAAACTGTTGATTCAAAAGTTTCATCAGTATAAGTGCTGAGAAATAAAGATACCCTTCAATTTGTACAAAAGAGAATCTTTTGTACGTATGGCACAGTAGTTAGCAGTGCTGCTTTGCTGCACTGGGATCTTGGGTTTAACACCAGGGTTCTGTCTGCATGCAGTTTGTATGTGCCCTACAATGGACTGGTATTCCACCCAAGGTGTATTCTGGCTTGTGCCCACTGCTTGCCAGGATAGGCTCTGGCTCCCCCACGTATTGTATAAAATGGTTAGAAAATGGATGGATGGACAATCTAGTGTTAAAGGCGATTTCTCTCCACATCATCATACTTCCACTCCTCCCGACAGGTAGGCTGTCATGACCACTGTCCTGCAGCGTCCTTCTGAAACTGTCACATTTTCACAAGGGCTCACGGTTTTCTGCGGCTTGCGGATCTCACCTGATCTCCTTCGGGTGATCCATCTTAATTAGTATTTATTCAATCCATTAGTCAATTCCCAGTTTTCTATTTAATGCCAAGGTGCCGCTTTGATGGTACTTTGGCACTATTCATTTCACCTCGGTTTCTTCCCGGCTCCAGTACCGCCTCCACTCTCTCCCCATTTCTCCGCTGAATCAGCCTGCGTTTCAAGCCTTTGCTTCACTTTGCACAGCGGTTCAAGCTTCGCGCCTGCACTTTTCGTCACCCAACACGGCAGCCTCAGCCTCTAGTGTGCGCTTTGCTCCGCACTCCAGGTTGCACGCCAGCTCTTGGCCTCCACCCTGGAACCCTGGACTCTTCCCGCTGGCCTCCCTCTCCTGCAGTTTCATCCCATTTCAGGAGGCAGCTTCCCTCGTCCAGGGCCGCAGGGCTCTCCTCATGCACTCATCCTACCCTTAGCCTAGCAGCCCCATCACAGTTTTGTAGAGAGTCCTGGCCTTTTCCCTTGCTTTTTCTCCGGTTGCCCTCTTTCCTACTGCTTTTCTGGCTTCTCTCTCTGGAGCAGCCTTTTCTCCTAACCTTTAGGGTATTTTCCTCTCTCTCGCCTTTTGTTTTTCAGGCTGTCTGGGCCACTTATTCTTTTTAACCTTTTCTTTTCCCTTGCCACATTCCAGCGCCACAGCTGAAGCCCACTCTCTTTTCCTTAAGAGAGTTTAAATTAAAGATTCTGATGTACAGTATGTACAACAGGTGATCAAACAGAAATGAACAGTGATGAAGGTCACCTTGGGCGTACTCCTATTTCAACAACCAATCTGTACAGGTGCACCCGTATTGATGGATTTCTTCATGGGGGCAGTGATAAACGATTAGGGGTTGGGGGGAAGCTTTTTGAATGTCAAGACTCCCAACACCTGAGACCAAGCCTGTATTGTGCACTTGTTAGCTCCCATTCAACCTATCCAGACCCAAATGTCCACCAGAATTCTCAGGCCTGGGCACACAACCATACCCACATTTTTATTTATTTCTGAAGAATTTGTTCTCAAACAATATAACGTTTGCTTATAATGTATTACAGAGTAAAGGTGTTTTTTCCTCAAAAGCTCACATCACAAAAATTTACATCCTGTGATTTCTCCTGTGTAATTTAGTAAGGTTAAAAAGCAGTTTTTCTGTATCTGAAAGTATACGCAGCACTTCAAATGGCATATTCATTCTTGCATTGTATCTAATCTACTTACTGAACTTACAACAACAGTAAGATCCATCTAATTTAATTATCTCTATGGTTAATAATAGCGGATCATTTATACCCCACTAATTTGATTATCTGCATATAATCCTAATCCAATTTTACATTCATAAATACAAATTTATATCTAACATGAATTTATTATGGATGCAATACACATATTTGGAAGAATCTATCCTGCTCTTCTGCACATATTTCATAAACTTGAATTCTTAAGGAACCAGTTAGAAAGAATTTACAGGAGCTGTGTTTTTGCACGCTTACATTGTGTGCCAAGCATAAGATTAGATAAGTGTATTTCATTTTTTTTTCAAAGAATGCAATCATCTCTAAGTTCAACAATAAATGATCATTTATACTCCACTAAATTGATTATTTTTTGTTATTGCTTTCCTTCGATAAAGAGCAACACAGTTTAAACAATGCACAACACAAACATTATGATGTTGCCCTGAAAACATTTACAGAGGTAAATATGAGGAAACAGAACAAAATTTAAAGAAAAAAATGCATAAAATCCTACTTGCATATACTTATGGACAATGAAACTGCATTATTTTCATATATATATATCAATTGCTGAGCATTGAAAAGTTAATTACATTTTAAATAGCACATACTGTAGGTTTGTAGGTTAATATTGTTCCTTGAAATTTGAAAACACTTAGCCTGAGGCACATGACAGTACCTGGGATGAGTTAAAATTACCAGAATGTTTTGACTACATATGTGTGTATGTAAACATTCAGAAAGACATGACTTTGAAGAGGGACAGTCTGCGCTATGTCCTTGCAGGGAGTCAAACCTTGGGTAATGGTCTGAACAGGCCTCCGCTGGCTTTGGGGACAGTTAAGGTCCTCCACACTGCTAACAGCCGCAGCAGGGACTCTGTCTGCTGCACCTGAGCCCCGGCAATATTTAGTCTCTGCTTTCTGCACCTTCCACAACTGGAGCTGCAATCTGCCTAAAAGGTCACCGTGCTTTCCCAGCAGGCAGGCCTGAAGAAGCAGCTGTTCAAAC